GTGTAAGGAAGACACACACACACACACAGAGAGAGAGAGAGAGAGAGAGAGAGAGAGAGAGAGTGAGGGAGAGAAATAGGGATAGAGATGAGAGCGAGAGAGAGAACTTGCAAGAATACCAACAACAGAAGCAGTAATTCTCAAATGACATCATGTGGTTTCCCCCCTCATAAACCATAAGTCTGCTGAGACTGTGAGCCAACAACCCCATAGAACGACAGCCCTGGAGAAGCTTAACGTCTAAAAATCAAAAAAATTTATAGAGCGGTGAATATGAGTGTCAGTACACGTTTTACGGCACTTGCAACACAAAATAGGCCTTAAGTGCCGAAGATTTGAGGTGTTCCTGGAGAGTAACCTACAAAGAAACGAAAAGAGGAAACGCCGACGGATGTTGAACGGAACAAAAGGAAGGAACCATCAGAGCACCCAAACAACAACTAATAAAATCAGTCAGTCCAAGGTCCCACTGAAGGACCAAAAATGTGTCAAGAGCCTTAAAAAGTTGACAGCCTTGAAAACCCCTCAAAACAACCCAAGTTCAAGAATGCTGAATCGGGGATCCGAACCAGGCCCAGGGATGTACACTCCGTGGCCCAACATGATACCGACTGAGCTAACGGAGCGCCCTACAATCCACTTATAAAAATTGTATTGATTGAACGTAAGTGATTTACGCTCCTATTGATACTGAGTTAGTTAATTCAGGCGGCTGGCTGCTTCGACCAGGTCTGACTGAAAGGGCCAACACGTGCAAGGCTGAGAGGGACACAGCAGCATCCCGTCCCACCAAACAGAACATGATAATGGTATAGGCTTAACGCCCCTATCGACATTATCCAGACAGAATGCAACATTCGTAAAAAGTAACTTGCCCCTACGGAAACCAAACTTGTGTTTTATGCGTGCAACCACAAAGGCCAAAGGTCGTGCCATTAGGCCAACATCACAGGTGCCGATTGACCCAATCTCAATCGATCAACAAAGAGGACATTACAAACGAGCAATATATTTACCCTGAATAAACAGGAACGTAGTTCAGGAGACGTCATCCAGTTGCAGATCAACGAGGTTCGTAAGTGTATGATGGTTCTCGTCTTTCTCTTTCTCAGGGTCAAGCTGTCATCTTTCCAACTCGTCCATCAGCAAAGCCGGCTGAACAAAGATGGAGAAGGCAGCTTCGATTCCCCGAGAAAGCAGCAAAGTGACTCGGTTTGTCAACGTCTTTCGTAAATTCGAGTGTGACTGCCTTCCTCCAATACGTTCACCAATAGAATGGGGTGACAAACAAGATGGCGGGCGAGTCTGTCTTCACTCAGATTCAGATTCAGATCCGCATGCCTTTGTCCACGCTCTTCTCAGAGTTTCTTTCCTTCACCACCTTCTGGAGAACAACGAAGAGAAACAAGATGGCGACGCTTTTACACCAGGTCGACAGCAAAGACCCACCACGAGTTCCCCGCAGAGAAGCGAAAGAATCGAGTATGCAGACGACCTCTCCCACTCAGCCAACCGACGCACACGCTGAGCGCAGTTCACAACTAGGCCAACAACACAGCTAGCCACTCCACCACCACCACCACGACCAGCAGCAGCACACCATTCGTTATCAACGTGAGAGCGAGAGAAGAAAAAAGAACGCGTAGGCCTCGCGGGCTTGCCTGCTTGCTACACAAGGTTATCGAGACCGCTTTTGCCTAGCGAGAGATCGAGTCAGTCACGGCTCTCTCTCTCTCGCTCTCTCCTCCCCAGTCAATCCTCTCTCGGTGTGGCTGAAGGAAAGCCGAGTGCGTGATGAATTGACGCATTCAAGGGCGAGCTCGACCGCCTGCTAACCCCAAGAGGCGAAGAAGAAGAAAACCATTCAGGATTCAGAAAGGAGAGGAGCAACAACAACACACACACATTAATGCTGCTAGTAATGCAAGCCGTCGGGCAAGCTAGCAGCAAGACAGCAGCGTATAGAGGAGAGAGACGAAGAAGCCTCACTCACCTCCTCCTCCCTCACCCCGTCTCCCTTTCCCCCCGTGGCACTACGACAGGTCGTCATACGCAGACGAACAAAACACTCGGGCAGCAGGCAATCCGCCAACGTTCCTCCCTGCTAGCTACACCGCCATAACAACGGCGTGGCCAGGCCAGCTACACTATCAAGTAAGCGTTTGGAGCTTGGGGGCCCAACCCGCTTGTTCGTTTGTTCATTCGTTCGTCCGGGGAGCCTAGGCCACACACACGACATAACCCTCAGAGCGCTGAGGCGACCCTTCCTACAACAACTGACTAGTCAGGCTTGCTTTACTTTTACTGCACGCAACGACAGCACTGAAACATTCGTTGAGCTCTTGCCTAGCTAGCTATAGCTGGTTCTGTACTCTGTACTGTACACTGCTGCGCGTGTGTCCTCTTCTCCTCATTCCTCCTCCTTCTTCGCCGAACGTGTTGGGCCGACCGACCGACCAACCGCTCCCTCCCCCTCTCCTCCCTGCACTCAATACCACCGGCCACTTATCCCCCCCCCCACCCTCCGTCCCCCTTCTCCGCTCTTCGCGTCTCCCGCGAAACGCAGGACAAGACTGGTGGGGATCGGCAATCGGCAGTGTGGACTCAACCAACAGATCACCTGACTCCAAATGCACAAAGCCTTTATTATAATAATAGAACATACGTTACAATAATAGTATTTATCACAACATAGATGATGTACATTGTTTCACTGGCTATAGCCGATCCATGTGTGCTAATACTGTCAGTAACAGTTGTGCCACCGGAAACTCACAGCTGCTTCGGACAAAAATGGCTAACTCTGTAAATGCTATTCGCCTCAATGAAGATCGTTTTGTTGGCGGGGTGTTTTTAGTCTGTCGCGGCAAGCCCATGCTAATAATACTGAACCATGGCTGTAGGCCTTACTTTACAAGGAATACATCATCCAATAAATATATAAGGTAATAAGACATTTCCTTCCCAAAGAGGGAATCGAACCCACGTCTTGGCGCTCATTTGACCTTATGCAGTTGCGAGCGCCGTAAAACCCTCCTCTAGGATAAAAAAGAACCCCACGTCTTCTGCAGGCAAAGTGACGAGTCTTAATAAAGTTGCAATGCTGATTACACTACTTGTGCTATTCGTGGCAGGAAACACATTACTAAGGAGATATATCATCACGTGAATATCTTTGAGTTTGCGATTCTTGTTAACTCTTAACTCTTAACAAAGAGAGAACCAACCTACTCCAGTCAGCTCAAGAAATTTTTAGCAAACTTCAAATCTCTGCTGACGATCCGCTGTGCGGTTGTGTTCTAGTTATGATTTAGTCTAAATATCCCACCCCTCTCCCCTAAACTACTCAAATTTCCCACGGGAATTCCCTTGGAAACAACTTACTGTCGTCAGAAGACATGGATAAAAAACGTGTTCAGTGTTCTGCGTCTGTTTGTTTGTCTGTTAGTCCGTTCATTTTTTTGTTTGTTTCCTCCTCTTTTTCTTTCGTTTTATGTTGATGTTTTACCTCTTATTAAAACAAAAAATGTAGTAAAAGTTCACTTGAAATTCCACCCCCCTCCCCTACTCCTTTGGAACTTACTTGACCTTTTGGGCACATCCAAGGTCTCCATTCTCCATTGGGCTACATTTGGCTCGCCATTGCGTCATTCACAAAGACGTTTTTAATTTACTTGTAGATCTAGTAAGAATAGGATCGAAATTAACTTTTTTTTTCGAACGGACTGTAGTTGTTCACCAGCTCGTGAATCTTCACACTCACAGATGAGCCAACTTCGTGAACCACTTGGACTTCAATACGTCTTGAGTTCCCCGGGAAGATTTCAGTTGTCCTCTTCTCGAATGAAGACCATCGTCCAGTTTTTGTTTGTTTTGTCTTGTGTTGTTCTTGTTTTCTGTCTATATGAAGGCGTTTATCATCAGGCCTGCCAGTCAAAGCGAACCCGGGATGAAACTGAAAGAGATACAACTTTCAAGCAGGAAGACCGAGACACTCAATAAAAGTCGTGATTCGCCTACTGTTTGGTTGTTGTTGTTGCCATCGTTGTTGTTATCGTCGTCATTGTTGCAATAATCGTTTTCATTGTTGTTGTTGTTGTTTTCATTGTTGTTGTTGTTGTTGTTGTTGTTGTTGTCGTCGTCGTCGTCGTCGTTGCTGTGATCGCGCCAACAGGCAGACTTCTTCACGTGATCCTCCTATCTTGTGTTGTTGTTGTTGTTGTTGTTGTTATTGTTGTTGTTGTTGTTGTTGTTGTTGTCGTCGTTGTCGTCGTCGTCGCTGTTGTCCCTACTCGTGACATGAGACTATTATGATTTATTGAGTTTCATTTTACTTCTACTGGTCTCGCTAAGACATTCGCCATCTCAAATTACATTGAAAACTCCTCATCGTTCTCGTTCTCTTGATGTTCAAAGTTCGTCCAGATGAATTTGAAACTGTCCTGTTTGACCGGAAGTCTATAAGAACCCTCTTTTTGTTTCCTTTTGTGTGTTCTTGTATTTTTTAAAAATCCACTTGCGGGTGGTTGGCGGGTGCTCTGGTGTGGTTTCCTCCTTCTTTCCTATCAAACATCTGTCGTCCTTATCTCCCCTCCTTCTTTTTTTGTGTTTGTTACTCTCTTGTAACACCTCTAATCTTCGGCACTTGTATGACCTTCTTGTGTTGCAAGTGCCGTAAAACTCTTACTAAAACTGAACTAAAATCCACTTGTCGAACGGTGGTCACACACTGTGGTCATGGCTGGACATTTTGCTGCGCCGGCGGAGGACGGATGTGTTTGATCCTCACGTGGGAAAGATTTCCTTCTTCTCCTGGGATTCATCTCAGAATGCGTGGGTTGACCAGGCAGGTGAGGTTGAAGAAGCTCGATTACTGATCCAAATTGTGGCTATTGGGTGTCGGGTATTTAGATTCAATTTAG